ATTACCAAGCATGTGTGAATTAGTTTGATTACCAGAATGTGTTAATTACAGTTGTTTATGATTGCTAATTCTGGATCCGTTTTGCGAAGCATATTAGTATATGTGAACCGTAATTTAAAGTAAAATAATGATTTGGGAGTTTTGTTGTTTGCTATTGAATTGTAAGTGCTTATCTTATATATGTTGAATAACTACTGATCAGTGATGTAATTACTCTTCAGCGAATGAAGGAAGAAAGTAGTTCTGAGACTGTAACAACTGCTCCAAAAATACAAAAACTTGAGAGGTTGCAGACCATTGAAAAAGAACACAAAGATGCATTGGAAAGAGCTGTCAGTTTGAATGTGCCTCATGCTGTAACATCCAACGAGGAAGCCCCCGAAGACCAAAAACCGGAGAAGGCTCCAGAGATTGAAAATCAGAGCGAAGATGCTGCAGATACAAAGTTGAAGTCCACTGGTGGAAGGGCAAGGTGGGATGATTTGGTTGAAAAGCTTTTCAAGAAAGAATCTGGGGATGTACTGCTAACACGAGATTCAAATCCCCCAGAATAGCAACATTCTTTGTTGGTGTAAAGTTTGCTCAATACAAGGCAAGAAGGAGATGAAGATACAAGCCAGCAGTAATCTAGGGTTTAAAAATAGGTGATCCACTCCTAATTGCACCAAGATCTTTTAAGATAAAGCCCTACACTTAAGAGCCATTCAGCTTAATACCACCCAAGGTATTGTGGTTAATTTGGGACACTATCAGTGCATTGCTGGACTTAAGAGCGGACACTAGCGGACACTAGCGGACAATAGCCACGTCTCTTTGAGGTTTAGGTACTTGTGAATGGTCCATGATTCATTTCCCACCCGCTTTAGAATATGTTAGAATTTGTACATTCTATAGGTAAAGGAGTTGTGCATTACATAGAACTACTGGTCCATTACCCATGGGACCATGGGAGAGAATTGTCAATGCAAAAGAATACTGAAATTCAGTTCCTCAAGCTCCTATCTGTGCGTCGAGTTCCATCTATGTTTTAATATAACCTCTTCAACTTGCAACCAAACATCAACTTTCGTTTTTACTTTTGTGAATCCAACAACCAAAAGCCAAAGATATATTTGTGGGAAATGACATTGTACTTCTAATTTCTCCTCATTCATCCTTCCCATTTTTTTGTCTGGGACCAAAGGAGAATCAAGGGACAAACACAAGAGGAGGGCAAACCGATAGTGTGAAGCTCACAAACCATATTAAAATCAAGGATATATTCAAGTATTGATGACATTAGATAAATACTTGCACCAATGTCTTTTGTGATAAAATCTCACATCTATCGTATTGTGTACAAGATAATATGTAAACTTGGAAACAATATCGGTATGATTAGTAGTGAGTTGCTCTTAACAACTTCCACATATATACATCGTCTTACCCGATGAGCTAATTTCACATAGTCCCCTATTATTAATAACAAAAAATAACACAAAACGAGTGGCATTGGATGCAAGGATGAGATTGAGAGGGATAAAAAATGGATTGGTTTGGTTGGTTGATCAGTTTGATAGTACTTCAATTAAGGTAAAAGAAGGATCGGTAAAATAGGCGATCTTGTGCTTTTCACAGTATATTTTGGTACGTAACTGCAATGCTAATTTGAATGTTTAGAGTATTTTTTTTGTAGGTATCCATCCTTCATTTTTTACGTAACTGCAATGCTAATTTGAATGTTTAGAGTATTTTTTTTTGTAGGTATCCATCCTTCATTTTTTACGACAATTTCAACGTAGTTGAATATCAGAGTGCGCAACGAACAAGACTAACAAATAATAAGAATATTATTAAACAAACTAAGAATGCCGAAACGGCTACAAAACCGTAAGAGACTACATTGTGGCTAAATTACTCTCAAACTAAATTACAAGCTCTATTTATAGAGCAATAAACCTAAGAAACCCTAATGCGTAAATGCCAAAAATACCCTACTACAAAATCAAATCAAATCTCTAATTAATTTCCTAAATAAACCTAATAAATTCCAACAGTTAATTAATTAAAGAATTATGAATCTTCAGTCAGATGAGGTAAATAAACGTTGGACATGTTGCCTATACTCGGGTCCATAAGTAGTATGTAAGAAGCTAATTAATCATGGAAGCTCTAAACTTGAACTTTAAGCATGGATGGGATTCGTGGTATAAATTTGGTGGATTGATGGATGGATGGATGGATCCATGACCTAACTAACTTAATGACATGCTACTTAACCACTCACTGCTGATAATTCAAAAGCTCTAATTGGGGTTTAACTTACTAATGCAATCAGATTAGGTCTTCTGTCTTTTGTTGGTTAACGGCTGTAACAAGAAATACCTGAACGTGTTAACAACCTTCTGGCCATCTAAGTGCTTTTGCTTTTTGAGAAAACAGTCGCATAAAGCAACACTGCACTGACTCTTGATTTTGTTACTGTGGAACGGTAATAACTGTGCATGCAAACGGTGCAACTGAGCGATTAGTCAACTGGAGAAATCTACCAACGTTTTACATAATGACCTATATATTATACACTAATTATTATTAAATGAGGGTTGTCATGCGTAATAACTTTCTAACTAGTTGGTTTGAGCAGTGGACAGTAAGTACGACAACACGATTTAGATATTAACCATAATCTAACCAAAAAAAACTATAATTACAAATTAACCATCAGATATTCACCATAATCAAACACACCAAATAATTGATTCTCCATCAATTAGTGAGTTTATACATTTCACTAATAAAACAAAATTATTTTTTGGTAATTAATGAAAATACATTTTGATCACATGATGTAAGCAACCTGTAAAAAAATCCATGATTAGAAAAATGAAAGTACAATAAAATCAAGAATCTAACCAAAAACATTAACACCCAAAACTACAACTTTCGGCTAGAGAAAAAATAATGACTAGAAAAAACTTTAAAATTTATAAATGCATATAACATTTTAGAAAATATAAAAGGGGACTGTAATAGGAGGATCTTGTTATGTGTATATCAATCAAAGATCATCTTTGAGAAAATTCACTCAAATTGAAAATCTCATTTAAATATCAAATTGCGATGAAATAAATAGATGAACATAGTATTGTTGAAGAAACAATAAATGCTCACGACAAAAATCAAATAGCTAAACGACTTCTAATTTAGATGAATTTATGTAACAATGATTTTGAATGATGACCTAAAAAATTATCAGCTTGGATTATAATATAAAATTGTGAACTGGATCCCTTCCTTTGAGGGGCCCCCCAAACATTTTATTTGATGGACACCTTATAGCACTTATTCCGTAATTTTTTTTTCAACAATCTAAATCATCTACATTTTAGTACATCATTTATAGAACGTATTTGTAAAAACTTAGACAAATTTAAGGCCATTATGACATTCAATTGTAATGAAGAAAATAAGCAAATACAGTTTTTTAAAGAAACACTAAAATGGCTACCATTTAATCCAATGGTAAAATGGTTTCGTATTTGGATGATTTTTAGTATAGATGATTTTTTAGGAAAGACCTAAAAATAGAAAGTTAGATCGTTGAAATACGATGTAAAGTGCTCAATCGAGTAAAAACTTTTTTAAAAGAGATGTGCTATCCACACACCCCTTTTTACTTCTCATATAGCCCTTGTTAATTTCTGTCTGTTGATCTTCTTCATTTCATCCGATCCGATGGCCAAAAATTAGAAGGGTGTGTGAAAAGAAAAAATGAGTGTGTGGATATCACACCCTTTTTAAAAAATGGGTGTCTCCCGATTTTTTTTTTTTTTTTGGGAAAAAAAATGCTAACACGTTGACCTACCCCAACAATGCAACTTAAGGATTGTAATGGTTTTTATTTTAGGTCTTCTTTAATAGTAATCTCTAAAAAAATAATGTGATCAATTATAAAATTCACTGGCAACATAAGCAAGAGTCCTTTTCTCTCAATAAATGTAAGCACATGTAATTTACATATTTTATAAGTTTTTTAACACTTGGTCACTATTCAGTTAAGTTAGAGTTTAGACGTAAAGGTTTGATCAATTGAGTTGATGTTTCACTATAAAACTAATCAACAATATGGAGAGTATTCCAATTCCTTATAAGCTCATGTAAGGTCCTTTCTCCTATCAATGCAGGACTCATTCTCAATATGCCCTCTCATGTGTGGCGAATTTTTAATCCGAACATGTAAGCAACACAAACGGAGTGAAGTGGAGCATGTGTGGCCATTGAGCTTCAAACGTGGGACAACCTCTCTAATACCATGAAGAAAGTTGAGGGTCTACCATAAAACTAATTGACAATATGGGGAATAGGCCAGCTCTCTATAATCTCATGCAAGGTCCATTATCTCATCAATACGGACCCATTCTCCACAGTAGACATGTAGTATATGAGTTTTCAATCACTGAGTCCTATATAATTAATATCAGGTTCGTCTCTCTACTGCTAACTAATTATCTCAAACCTTGAGAATAAGATTAAGCTGTAGCCGCAATACTTAGACAATACAACCGGCACTGATAAAGAATGAGGTTTTACAGCATGCCTAAACCCAAACTGACTACTTGGCCACCCTTGAAGCAGTAGTACTCGTTACTCATACACTTCATATATAATAACATCAAATAATCGATTTATAATTATGAATATTCACCTGAGAATTAATTTAAACTTTTTAGTTTTAGCACATAATGATGTGAGGCGAGAGCAGACTTTTTGGATTTATATATGTTTAGTTAAAATTAACCAGGAGGAGATCTGAAGGAACTTAAACTTATTATAGGGTTTGACAATAATTAGCATGAGAGGGAGATTTAATCAGAAAGTTTGGTACCTGAGACTGGTGATAAAACATGCAAAATCTTGATGTAGCAACCGAAACAAAGTACTCAAGACAAGTACCAATCTCCAACCAATATTCTATCCAACCCTTATATATACTCATCTCACTTGGAGCATTTAGCACCCACAATTTATTAATTGGAGAGCTATAATATCATATCATATATTTATATTTATGGAGAAGACACACTCCAAATCTACTCTTAAGGTCGTGCATGGTTCTTAATTATGTGATTGACTTGTTAAATTATTTTGTTCTTCTTTAATTTCGATGCTGATGAGTATAATGATAGCTTGAAAGTGTCTCTTATATATCTTTCTTATTTCTTAACTTGGCCTTCTTCTCTTTTTTCCAATGAAGTTTGTGAAGAGTGCTTCACAGTTCACAACGGGTTTATGGAGCACAAATTCTGAAGGAATGGTGAGATCAGACATATATACCACCTCAATATATGAAAACCATATATATTCGCTGCCAAGTTAGCATTTCAACATAGTATTAATGTAGTTAATGGGGTTAATCAAGTGTTAAGCGGCTATATATTGTTGTAATTATTCTAGAGAGGTGATGAACATACCTTGGTTCGATTAAGGTGATGAACATCTCTGTATATTTACGGTACTGGGACTTGTTCATAAAGTTATACCACTTGATTTATAGCTCTTTTATATGTTTGTTAATTTATTTTGGATGTGTTATCCACATACTTCTTTTTACCTTTCACATACCTTTTGTAAATTTATGTTCTTTTATTTTTTTTTTCCAATTTATTTAATCTAATGACCGAAATTTGAGAGCTATATGTGAATATTTAAAAGGAGTGTGTGAAAAACATTATCCTTTATTTTATGAAAATGTGCATTGTATCATGACGTCATAAAGGTGATTCCATACAATAAATCACTTTGCCATACTTTGTGTCCTTTCTTATAAAGGTTAAGGCAGAGTTACACCGTACATGATCAGGTCTAGAGAATTATATCCTTTTATGGAAATTATTAAGTCGCAAATGAGAGTGTAATAGCTAAAAAGGTACTTTCTTAATGATTTAAATCTAATTATTCGAGTGAAGTGACATGAAGATAGAAAGTGCTTTCCTTATATAGTTAAGATCCCACAAGGTCACATCCTCAACAGAAATGAGTGATATACACTCTATCTTAATTTACTAGTGAGCATAAGCTACATCTGTTTTCAGTAAAATTATGCCTTCTTGGATTCTTGCATCACTTATAATTTACCATAGCATTGCCACTAAAATCATATTTTTCTTAATTTACAGCCAAAAGATGAATTCAAGGACAAATCAAAGGTAAATAATTAACTTATCAGGTTGTGTAATCTTACTACTACGCACTGGACCATGGTAAGCACATGAATTTTAGACTTTTGAATTATTTGGACTTTTTTATTAAATAAAAAAAAAATCTTGATCGTCCTTAATTAGCCTGATACGTATCATACACCGAAGCATGAGAATTTTAGTCAATCTCACTCTCTTGTGCCCCTCTTGCATGTTAACTACTGAACCTTGTTTATATATATAATAACTAGTCTTGTCAGAAGTCTCCTACAATGGAAAATACCAAAGCTCAAGAAGTGAAACTTCACACTCAACAAAGAGCAACCAAACGAGCAATGTTCAACTACATGGTGAGTCGTCAGTTTTCCTTTTCGTGAAAATATTGACCGTAACTCTTAAATTTAGCCTTTCTCGGAACTCTTTATTTTCAGTTTTGTCAATTAATGGATATATAAATAACAGGTTGCGACCAAGCTGAGCATCTTGGAGCAGCAGAGAAAACAAGAAGAGATGTTGCAGAAGGTAGAGGCATATATATATGTATATATACATGTATACATATAAAAATATTTGAGAAGCAAAAACATGATTCTGATGGAAGAGTGCTGTAATAAATTAATTGAGCAGATGATAGAAGAGGAAGAGATTCGCTTGCTGAGAAAGGAGATGGTTCCAAGGGCTCAATTGATGCCATTTTTCGATAGACCTTTCATTCCGCAAAGGTAAAATAAATTTATTAATCCTCCCAGTGCAAGCATTTTGCTCCAGCCAAACGTAATTTTGTGTGTAGTTGGGATACTTTTAGTATGTTATAATATAGGTGTACAACATAATTGATATCTCATATTTTTGAGGTATATAGTAATAATAATAAAAAGTAAATACGTGCTATAATTTAAACAAAATTGTGACATTACGTAATAGAGTTCTGAATATACTGAAAATTTACCATATTCCTGTGCTGTTTTCTTCTTCTTCTTTTGATCTTCTTGCATGCAGATCGAGCAGGCCTTTAACAATTCCTAGAGAACCAAGTTTCCGAATGATGAGCAGCAAGGGCTTCAGCTGCAACTCTGGCAGTGAACTCTACAATTTCCAACCCACAACTCAAGCTATGAATCCCATCAAGTAGACCATTTCAATAAGTACCGCCAACAGATTATTCCTTAAAACATAAACCCAATATGGTGCTTCATGCATACTGTGAGAAACGCCTTTTTTTTTTCAGATCCTTAATTTTCTTGCGTAGTTACTAAAATCCCAAAATTGGATAGTTGTAATTTAGTTGACCCTCAAGGGGGAATTGCTAGTGACGATTCTCCACAGTTTAGAAAATAAAGACACTGCATTTCCTTTGCTTTTCTATCTTAGTCTATTTTGTCACACTCACTGTGGCACATTCGTGAGTCCGTGGCGCATGGTTTATATATAACAACAACAAAATTGTGGCTTAATTAATTGACATGATAAAATTAACATGGATGCAAAAGATGGTTGATATGGAATGTTAAAGAGACAGATCAATGAACTTGAAATCTCAAGGCTTTTTCTAGCTAGAGGACGTGTTTTCTGAAAGTGAAAAAGAAAACCCAATTGGAATCGATGGATATGAGTTAGGGGCAGACCTGCTACAAGCTATATGGGGTCTAGCTGAACCAACTTGTGTGTTTTGCTAGACAACACTAGCAATCGGATACATGCTATGCACAACATGAAAGCGAAAGGTGGAAGAAAAGATAGAAGAATTTTACTTTATTCTAATTTTTAATCAGTACAATTATTTATGTGGTTTTTAGTTCAAATACCATTGTTAAGAAACTTTTTCTAGCGAAAAAGTCAACCAAAATTATGCTATATTTTTAGTTTACTTAATTACTAAAGATACAAGGCAACCAAAATTACACTATAATTCAAAATAGTTTACTTGATTGTCACACAATCCCCACCAACTTTTCTAGTGACTGTTGACTAGCTGGCTGACCAACTTTTCCGGCGATCAGCCACTTCATTTTGTAGAAAAAATGATATAAAAAATGTCTTCAAGAGTTTGACCCAAATCTCAAAGTGAAAAGTAACAACTTGTATCACTACACCAAACAAACACTTGTAAAATGTATTACCTTCATTAAGATTAACGAAGGATGATATAAATATTATAAAACGTAATAATTTACGTCAAATTAATGTTGATAAGTTGGTAAGTTGATATTGTTTCACTCGATGACGTAGTTAGAAATTACAAAGCTAAAATTATTACTACGAAATTAATTTTTAATGGTAAATCTAAAAGTAATAATTTAAAGCAAGAAATTTATATAAAGTAAGGAACCATATTATTATTACGAAATTAATTTTTTAATAGTAAATCTAAAAGTAATAATTTAAAGCAAGAAATTTATACAAAGTAAGGAACCATGTGGTATGGAAGTTTCAATTTATTACTATTCATAATATATTGGTTAAAGTAATGAGTTTATTTAACATTTATTAGCTGCTAAGATTTAAAATTTCATTTGCTAAGTGGAATGTGACAATTAAAAATCATAAAATAGCCTAAAAGATTAATACTTTTAAGCTTAAAGAACCAAAACTCTCCCTATGCTTTAACATAGGCGAGACTTGTACTTGACTCCAACAGTGGCTTTACTTGTGAGGTCATGGGTTCAAACAGCCTGGCAAATCTTGACACGACTCGATAACCTAACACGACACGAAATTCACAGGTGTTCGGGTCGACACGATAACGAATCGGATAATTATCGAGTAACTCGATAAGTACCTGTTAAGATAACGGGTTGGTTCGGGTATACATGTGGTTAACACGATACACGATAAGTAAAATATTAATTTTATAATTTTATAACCCTAAAAAAATACTATAATAATTATATATATTAATTTAACAATTTTATACCCCTAAAAACTATAATAATTATATATATATATATATTTATTAAATTAAATATTAAAAATTGGTGACCATTGAATCGGCTTAAATATACATACCATTCAATTTCTTAAGTGTTATATGTACAAAAATAAATAAATTTAAATCTACTTAATATATATATATACACACACACCATTCAACTTGATGGGATACAAATTCTACGAAACTAATTTCAACGATCCAACCGTCAAACTTGTTTTTATATGCTTTGAGATCGCATCAGCAAAAAATCGCAAACAACAAACATTCAAAGATCAAGTAACGGGACAAAACTTTTTTACGGTTATCAATGAAAAATCACGATTTAACGATTATTTTAACTCTGATTTTGATGATTTTTTACAGCTACACTCTTTGATCCTATATGAATACAATGAATGAGCTTGATCTTCAATTTAAAATATTTACACTAGTGGATACCACAAAATCTTATGTTATACTTAATGAAAGTATGAATAAACTCTTAAATGTAAGTGAATCTATTGTTTTGATGGGATACGCATTCTACGAAACTAGTTTCAACGATCCAACCGTCAAACATGTTTGTATATACTTCGAGATCGCATACGCCTAAAATTGCAAAAAACAAACATTTAGAGATCAAGTAACGGGACAAAACTTTTCAACGGTTATAAATGAAAAATCATGATTTAACGGTTATTTTCACTCCGATTTTGATGATTTTTTACAGCTACACTCCTTGACCCTATATGAATACAATGATGAACTCGATCTTCAATTTAAAATATTTACATTAGTGGATACCACAAATCTTATGTCATACTTAATGAAAGTATGAATAAACTTTTAAGTATTAGAGAATCTATTGTTTTGATGGGATAAGCGTTCTACGAAACTAATTTCAACGATCCAACTGTCCAACATGTTTGTATATGCTTCAAGATCGCATACGCCAAAAATTGCAAAAAACAAACATTCAAAGATTAAGTAACGGGACAAAACTTTTTTACAGTTATAAACGAAAAATGACGATTTAAATGTTATTTTAACTCCGATTTTGATGATTTTTTTACAGCTACACTCCTTGACCCTATATGAATACAATGAATGAACTCGATCTTCAATTTAAAATATTTACACTAGTGGATACCACAAAATCTTATGTTATACTTAATGAAAGTATGAATAAACTCTTAAGTGTTAGTGAATCTATTGTTTTGATGGGATACGCATTCTATGAAACTAATTTCAACGATCCAACCGTCAAACTTGTTTTTATATGCTTTGAGATCGCATACGCTAACAATCGCAAAAAACAAACATTTAGAGATCAAGTAATGGGACAAATCTTTTCGACGGTTATAAACGAAAATCACGATTTAACGGTTATTTTAACTCTGATTTTGATGATTTTTTACAGGTACACTCCTTGACCCTATATGAATACAATGAATGAACTCGATCTTCAATTTAAAATATTTTGCACTAGTGGATACCACAAAATCTTATGTTATACTTAATGAAATTATGAATAAACTCTTAAGTGTTAGTGAAACTATTATTTTGATGGGATACGCATTCTACGAAACTAATTTCAACGATCCAACTGTCAAACATGTTTGTATATACTTCGAGATAGCATACGCAAAACATTGCAAAAAACAAACATTCAGAGATTATGTAACGGGACAAAACTTTTCTACGGTTATAAACGAAAAATCACAATTTAACAATTATTTTAACTCCGATTTTGATGATTTTTTACAACTACACTCCTTGACCCTATATGTAACATCCACATCGCCCAGGGTAGTGGATCATGTAAGCCTTATATGTATATTCCCAGTTTTACCTAGCACAAGGCCTTTTGAGAGCTCACTAGCTTCGGATTCCGTAGGAACTCCGAAGTTAAGTGAGTTCGCACGAGAGCAATCTTAGGATGGGTGACCCACTGGGAAGTTCTCATGTGAGTTCCCAGAAACAAAACCTTGAGGGCGTGGTAGGGGCCCAAAGCGAACAATATAGTGCTACGGCGGAGTTGAGCCCGGATGTGGTAGGGGTCTGGGCCGGGATGTGACACTATATGAATACAATGAATGAATTTGATCTTCAATTTAAAATATTTACACTACTGGAAACTACAAAATCTTATGTTATACTTAATGAAAGTATAAATAAATTCTTAAGTGTTAGTGAATCTATCGTTTTGATGGAATACGCATTCTACAAAACTAATTTCAACGATCCAACCGTCAAACTTATTTGTATATGCTTCAAGATCTCATACTCCAAAAATTGCAACAAAAAAAAAACATTCAGAGATCAAGTAACGAGACAAAACTTTTTAACGGTTATCAACAAAAAATCACTATTTAACAGTTATTTTAGCTCCGATTTTGATGATTTTTTACAGCTACACTCCTTAACCCTATATGAATACAATGAATATATTCGATCTTCAATTTAAAATATTTACACTAGTGATACCACAAAATCTTATGTCATGATGATTGATGAAAATTGACGATTTTGTAAGAGGAATAGCATGCAAGCTTTGAGTTCCATTGGTAAGGTTTAAACTTTTGAGAAAGGCTTCACAACCATGAAAACAAAAACTCTTTCAGTTTGCATATCCTTGCACATTTAATATTTTGTAATAGACTAGTAGTGTATGAATGTTTGTTTATTAGGCTCTTATTTTTTAGTGTAGATGTAGTACTTAAACGACAAATGTGTTTTAATGTTTTGAAGTAATATTTATGTGGCAATGTGTGGTATGTACAAATTTAAGAAAAAAATATATATTTTTCTTAACGAGTCATAACAGGTCAGGTCACTTTACCCACAGGTAAAGTGACCCGACCTGTTAAGGACCCGTTAAGATAAATGGTGTGACACGACACGACCCGTTAAGATAACAAGTGTTACACGAAAACGACATGAACACGAACACGACAGACACGACTAGTTTTCCAGCCCTAGGTAGTCTCCCTCCGAACTGCTTGACGAGGTAGTCTCCATCCATTCCAGCATTGTTGCAGGTTTCAATGAAATGGGCAACATGTTGCTTTGGGTTTCCCTTTCCATCGAACTGCATGAACTTTGGCGGCTGATAATCTCTCAGCATCTTCAAAGAGTCAATCTTCTTGGAGTAGGGCTTTGAGTATAGTACGGAGTCATGCGAGCTTCCTTCGTACTGCGCCTTGATGGTGTTGGCGATCATCTTCTACAACTGCTGGATAGAGAAAGATCCCATGAATGCCATTGCTTGGTCTGGCTCCGGTTTCTCTTCTACATCGACTTCTTTCTTTAATGGATTAACCATTAAGTCGACTTTCACGTCGGGCTTTGCATCTAGTTGGTTGACAAGTGCGGCGATTTGCAAGTCTTTTTCCTCCATAGTCCGTGTGAGTTTTGCGATCGCTTCATTCATTTGAGCCAGCTGCCCCTCAATTGAAGTTGATCTGGCAGCCATGACTTGTATGGTTGTGCTGTCGCTCGAGTCGGCATCGGAAAGCAAGGACTCGGAGTACTTCCTCGGGCTTTCCTCCCTTGATTCCCTTAGCGAAGCCAAGGTAATGACGGGCTCGTGCCTCGGGTGCTTTTGTTCATTCGGCAGAGTTGATGCAGGGGTGGAAGAGACGGCAGAAAGAGCTATTGCCTTGCTTCAAGTTGTGATGCCTGAAGTGACATCGCCTACGGTAAGGACGCTTTTGTTCTTCGCGTTGGTTGCGGGAACAACTTGAGCCTTCCTTGATGCCATTTGTGCTTTTTACGGATTTGCAAATAGAGATGAAAGGTAGAGATTGTCCCACTGGGCATGCCAAATTTATAAACACGAATATTCCTGCAATGAATGAGACAAGAACACGTGTAAAAAATAATATTTGTATTAATGATTTAGGGGTTACAATCGCTTCTATAAATTTAACCTCTGATTCGATCTTCGTAATGCGTAGATTTGTGGATTGTGCTATTGATCCAAGAGTCGTTGGGGCTTGATCTTGAAGGTTGACGAATGGATCTTCAAAGGGCTTTTGGGCTTGATTTTGAAGAACGGTTGTGCGGATTTCTTCAAGTGCTTTTGGGCTTAATCTTGAAGGTTGATGGGTGAACGGATCTTCAAGGGCTTTTAGACTTGATCTTGAAGAACGGTTGGATGTGTGGATTTGTTAATGTTGTTGATCCAAAGGGCCGTTGGGGCTTGATCTTAGGATGACCGGACGATGAACGATGAACACTCTCTTCAAGGACCGTCGAGGCTTGATCTTGAACTGGTGGAAGTTCTTCAAAGGCCGTTGGGGCTTGATCTTGAAGGAGGATTTGATGAAGAACAAAGAGAGCTTTCTTAATCTTTCGGGATTGGCTTGGGAGCTTTAGAGTTTCAAAGCTTCAAGGTTTTGGTGTGATGTGAATTGTTTATGAATTGGTGTCCTCAAATGAATGAAATGGCCTTGTATTTATAGAATTTTTTCAAAGCCTAATTTTGAATATAATATTCAAATGAAATAAATAATTTCTGCCAGGTGTTGACACGTGTTCTTATTTGATGACTTTTCCGATTTATTTTGATTTTTCGTTTAGTCACACGATACGTGTAAAACTTTATGTGACACGTGAGCGTTGAAATTGTAATTATTGGTCAACATTTATTTCATTGAAATTTCGATGTCTACAAAAAGTATTTGCAAATTGGGTATCAAGTAATTAAGTATTTTACCTAAATAATAAATGGAGTATTTTTGTTTATCACCATTTAGTGTGGTGTATGCTTACCATTTGAATTTCGAGATTCGTGTATTGGATAAGCACAAATCTCAAAATTCAAATTCATCTAAATATGATAAATAGGATAGTAATCATACACTATACTAAATAGTGGGGAGCAAAAATGCACCCAATAATAAAAGAAAGAATCCATGCGTGTTAATGCAAAAATCAGTGGGCGCACACTGACTAAATGGTGTTTATAATGTACGTAAGACCAACTGGCAGGAGAATTTATGCTAATTTCTTTTTTCTGTCTGTTTTCCTATTAATATTGTAAACCTTTGGAAGGACGCCAAATGGCTACTGGCTAGAGCCTTCAAGAACCTACTCCTCCTGCTGTAGCATCCACAGGAAAGGACCAATACCTAAGTATTTATAGATAAGCCGGATTAACCCAGAAAAATAAAAAGAAAAGTTAATCATTGAGAGCGAGAGAGGAGGCGAGATCGATGGGGAAGGAACGCAGTGTAGGAATAGGCATGGATTATTCAGCAACAAGCAAATTGGCCCTAAGATGGGCAGTCGATAATCTCATCGAAGAAGGAGATCGCATCGTATTAATCCACGTTGAGTCACCCAAAGCTGCAACAAGCAGGAAGCAGCTGTTTGAGAACTCTGGATCACGTACGCAGTCTCTCCCTCTATATATACACTTGTTAATTGTCATTAGTTACCTTAATGATTTATTATTAATTCATGACTTATCTATTAATTCATGACTTAATAATTTCTTTAGGTTTTTGGTGTTTTTGATTGCAGCTTTGATTCCTTTGGAAGAACTTGTACTGGAGACTAACGTCTCAAAGCAGTATGGACTTACTAATGATCCAGAGGTGCTTGATATTCTTGATAAAGTTTCAAGAAGTAAAGGGGTATGTTACTTTGTTACATATTAATCTCATTTTTCATATTCCTTTGGATACTTTCTCATATTCTTTTGCATATGCTAGTTATTTATATAGCAATTGGCGTACCAATCTACAGTAATTTGTATATACTATCCTTACGGTCGATATGATAAGCGTCGACATTAATTATTAGATAAGAAACTAGAGTATGATTAATTTGTATGTGGATTGTGATTAGGCCAAGGTTGTGGCCAAGGTGTACTGGGGAGATGCAGGGGAGAAGTTGTGTGATGCTGTGCTAGATCTCAAGCTTGATTCGCTTGTTGTTGGAAGCAGGGGATTAGGCCTTATCAAAAGGTAACCATTATTTGACTAATTATCTCCACTAAATTAATTCACCTTCTCATAAAAACACAAAATTAAAGAGAGAAAATGAAGGTTTTGTGTTGGATTAATTTTTTGTTCCTACAAAATGGATGATTAATATGTGGTGAATTTGCAGGGTGCTGCTGGGCAGTGTTAGCAACTACGTGGTGACCAATGCTTCATGTCCAGTTACAGTTGTCAAGGGGGTGCAATCATCCAAACCATAAATCTCAAAGGAACTCCTTCAAATAATAACAAGTAGTTGTGAATTATAATGTGTTGAAATTCAAAGAAATTAGGGCTTGGGGGTATTTTGTGGGTTTTTTCTTCTTTCCTTTTCTTAATTATGCAATGTTTTTATTCTGTCAGCTATGGATTGATGGGTATTTGTTATGATATGATATATGCTCTTTGGCAAAGATGTTCATTTTTTCTTGTAAAAGCAAATATATTCAATTTAATATCTTCCATTTTACTTTATGCATTCTATTAGAAAATCTAAGGACACATTTTTATTAATTTTTAACACATCTCTGTTAATTATGACCGTTGTTTTCATGATTTATTCAACCTAACCAAAAAAAAAAAGTAAAGACGTGTGAGAAGCCTGAAGAAAAGTATGAAAATCACCCCTGTATTATTGTTTCATAGAATCTTAACTACTTGAAGGATTCGGCCCAGTCTTAAACGCTAGGGTGGGCCGGGTATAGGGAGTGGAAATCTAATTATGATGAGTTGTTCTCGTATGGAAGTGGAGGGAAGAAATCTAATTGTGTTATTTGGTGGAATTACTAAGTAGATTCTCACTCCCTCTATGAGAGGGTAGATGTCTCGCACACAATCATTAAGGAAAATCTAATCTCGTTTAATCTTTATTTATTAAAAAAAAAAAAAAAAAGGTAGATTGTTAAGTTGGCCTGAATCGTCCTTCTTGTTTTTTAATGTTAAATATTGATGATTCCAGGTAATTGTTGTTGGCGTGAGTCAACAATAATACAATAGAAATGTAATTGTGTTTCCTAGTTTGGGTATAACTTTCTTTTTATGTCTTTAATATTCCTTGTAGTACAAGGATTAAGTATGTATATATATCATATATGTGTCGCCCCCTATGAGAGAAGTATATAGAAAAATATATTGAAACCTTAAAATTAATTTTATCTTGGTATCAGAGCAGGTTCTGACCTGTCTCTTTCTCTAAATCCTATCCCCGTTCACTACTGTTTTCAATGCTTCTCTTTGTTGGTTGTGTAACAGCCATTGAAACCAAGCTCAGGTCTCGAAACAAGAGACCACCAGACCTGTTACAACCCAAACCCCCAAAACATATAAACCTAAACTACCAAACTGTGTGTCTCGAAGCAAGAGACACACCTATTAGAAAAACCTAAAACTTGAAATCTAAAGCAAAGATTGCTTCCATGGCTGACAACCAAATATTGGTTCCAATCTCTAGCGAAAAGGAGCACGAGCTGGCTAATTATGAAGCCCACAAGATAATTGGACAACAAGGTCCATCTGGAATCCACAACCCAATTGGGCAGCAAGAGATTGAAGATGTCTGCAGCAACTTGGGCATAGGCCCGCCTAGCCCACTAGCGAAGACTCATCAAGATTGGAACCCGGACCCAGACAATCCGAGCCCACAACTGTCTCTATTGAATATGATTGCTTATCAAGGGCAATCTGATGATCCAGGTAACTCTGGCACAACTTTGATTGCATCTATTGATCTTGATACAGGTTGGATTATTGACTCTGGAGCCACTGATCATATGACTTATGATCGTACTTTATTTAACTCTACAACACCACCACCTCGGGATAGTATTGTCACTGCTAATGAAGGTGTTACCCTAGTTACAGGGGCAGGTTCGATTGCACTCACTCCTACTCTCTCCTTGCACAATTGCTTAGTTGTTCCCACACTCTCTAACCATTTGTTATTTGTGGGACAGGTCACCGAGCAATTAGATTGTGTTGTAAATGTTTTCGTCTTTCTGTTTACTTCAAGATATCAGAACTCAGGCGATCATTGGGCGTGGTACTAAGAGGAGGGGGTTGTACTATATTGATGATGTTACACAAGACCGTGTTCATCAAGTTCAAGGTTGTGATAGTGGAAAGTTGAAGACTATTCAGTTATGGCATTGTCGTCTTGGTCATGCTTCCTTCAGTTACTTACGAAAATTACTTCCGTCATTATTTGGTAATAGTTCAGATTCTTTGTTAAAGTGTAATGTTTGCACATTAGCCAAAAGTCATCGAGCTTATTATCCCCTAAGTTTGCATAAAAGAACAATTTCGTTTGAGTTAATTCATTCTGATGTGTTGGGGCCATCTCCAGTTACTACTTAACATGGTGTGCGTTGGTTTGTAATATTTGTTAATGATTGCACTATGATGAATTGGTTATACCTCATGAAGAATAAAAGTGATGTAGGTGACATCTTCAAAGCATTTTATCACATGGTCTATACTCAGTATTCACTCCTTGTTAAAGTGCTTCGGGGTGGTGAGTATCTTAATCAGGATCTTTCTCATTTTTTTACGGAAAAAGGGCATTCTTCATGAAACTACGTGTCCTCAAACCCCACAACAAAATGGAGTTGCCGAACTAAAAAATCAGCATATCCTTAAGATTACCCGTGCCCTTCTTATCGGTAGTTATGCACCCAAGACATATTGGGCCGATGCAGTGACCTATGCCGTCTATCTCATGAACAATATGCCATCACGTGTTCTTTCTTTTAGAACTCCTTTGGCGGTACTCACTAACCATGTCTAGCTTCCTTCCACCCTTCACCTCGAACCACAAATTTGTGGGTGTGTGGCTTACGTACATCTTCACAAAAATCAATAAAGCAAGCTTGATCCATGCGCGGTACGATGTGTTTTCATTGGTTTTAGTCCTCAACAAAAAAAGGTATAAATGTTATCATCCTCCTAGTAAACATGTCTATGTTATAATGGACATGACTTTTTCCGAAGACGAACATTTTTTCCCTAGACATAACCTTCAAGGGGAGATGACTGATGTTGAAGATTATGCATGGGTGGATGTTAGCACTCCTGCTGTCCTTGACAACCCATAAAGCCCAAATGGGCGTGATAATCATGTTGTCCTTAACAGTACCGATAGCTCCCAAAGCCCAAATGGACATGATGATTATCTTAGGGTTGCATATTGTAGCGGCCCACATGATGGTGATAATGACGACAGCCTAAATAGGCATCATAGCACCATGTCATGCACCGAGTCGTGCACCAAGACAGCAAGTGAGCCTATGTGGCAGAAGGAACCTAGCCCACGTGATTTAGTTCAAAGTCTACAATAGCTCCCGAAACCTCCCTTAGTACAAGCCCATGATCCTAAGGATATCCTCTCCGAGGTAAGTACTCATTTAGAGTCAGTTAAACCATTTTATGTATTGCCTCCTAGACAGAATCGAGGAAAACCACCATACAGGTACTCTCCGGAAGGGAAGGTACGATATTCAATTGCTAATTATGTCTCCATTCATCGACTTTCATCGAAATATTGCGCATTTGTTCAACAAATGGAAACTATTAAAATTCCTACTAAAGTAGAAGAAACCTTGAAAGATCCAAAGTGGACAGAGGCAATACAAATTGAGATGGAGGCGTTATAGAAGAATAAGACATGAAGTGTGGTTACACTTCTTAGGGGCAAGAAATCAGTAGGGTGCAAATGAGTGTTTACCATTAAGCATAAGGCGGATGAAACAATTGACAGATACAAGGTGAGATTAGTAGCCAAAGGTTATACACAAACCTTTGGTGTCGATTATAAGGAAACCTGTGCTCAAGTTGTGAAGATGAATACTAATAGAGTTCTGTTATCTCTTGTCCCTAACCATGACTGGCCTCTAAGACAGTTTAATGTTAAAAATGCTTTTCTACATGGTGATTTAGAGGAAAAGGTGTACATGGATATTCCACCAGGTTGCTGCGAACTCCAATAGGAAAGTGTGTAAACTTCAGAAGGCATTGGCTTTAAACAGTAACCTAGAGCATGGTTTGGGCGGTTCACCCAGGCAATGAAGAAGTATGGGTATTGACAGAGAAACGCAAATCGTACATTGCTAATCAAACGCAAGGATGACAAGGTAACTCTGCTTATCATATATGTAGATGATATGATTGTCATAAGTGATGATACAATGGAAATCAAAGGTCTGCAAGGGCATTTGTCTTCTGAGTTTGAGATGAAAGATCTTGGAGGACTTAAATACTTCTTGGGAATTGAAGTGGCTAGGTCTCAGGAAGGAATATACTTATCTCAGAGAAAGTATGTATTGGACCTTTTGTCTGAAACTGGTATGTTAGGGTGCAAACCAGTGGATATTGTGCAGAATCATCATCTAGCAATTTATCAGGATCAAGTCCCAGTGAATAAAGAAAGGTATCAAAGATTTGTAGGGCGGTTGATTTATTTGTCTCTTACAAGGCCAAATATTGCTTACGCAATAAGTGTGTGAGTCAATTTATGCATGCTTCTAGTGAAGATCATATGGCAGCAGTAATGCGAATTCTGAGTTACTTAAAATGAGCTCCAAGAAAGGGTTGATGTATAGAAAACATGGGCATATGAAGGTGAAAGGGTATACTGATGTAGATTGGGCTGGAAATATCACTGATCAGTGGTCTACATCGAGATACTTCACATTTGTAGCTAGTAATCTTGTGACATGGAGAAGTAAGAAGCAAAATGTGGTGGCAAGGTCTTCGGCCGAGGCTAAGTACAGAGGAATGAGACATGGTATTTGTGAGCTTCTATGGCTTTGGATTCTACTCACTGAGATAGGGTTTACACCAAAAATTCTATGTTATTGTACTGTGATAATCAAGCAACTCAGGAGATAGCTAACAATCCGATGCAGCATGGTAGGACCAAACATGTTGAGGTGGATAGACATTTTATCAAAGAAAAGTTGGATGTTAAGTTGGTTGACATTCCGTTCGTGAAAACAGAAGAACAGTTAGCAGATATTCTAACCCATGCAGTTTCTGCAAGAAGGTTTCAAGACTCACTCGACAAGTTGGGCCTAGGTGATATCTATGCACCAACTTGAGGGGGAGTGTTGACATGAGTCAACAATAATATAATAGGAATGTAATTGTATTTCCTGGTTTGGGTATAACTCTCTTTTTATGTCTTTAATATTCCTTGCAGTCCAAGGATTGAGTATGTATATATAAGTTTTGCCTCATATGAGAGAAGTATATTGAAAATCATATTGAAACCCTAAAATTAATTTTATCTATTGTTCCTTAATTATACTCCAAGTAATATTTAGTTATTTATGAGACCAATTGGGGTTCGACATTGGATTATTACTTAATATAAGAAACAACTTCAATGAAATGTTTAATCAGAGTTCTTTGCTGATTGCAACTTTAATTAAGTCTTGTCATCAGCATACATACTCAGGAGCCCCTTTTCAACTTTTACAAAG